TGATGGAACGAACTTACCCTGACGCAAGTCTGACAAGTTGAAAAAGTCGTCGCCCTTGTGCACGTGAGGTTGTCCAATCTCACCAATTGACTCTCCGCCACCTGTCGAGGAAAAAAAAAAATATCGGAACGCAAAATGGTCGAGATTTTGCTCGTTTTCGGAAAACTCTATCTTATTGCGTTAAATTATTTCAATATCGGAATTTAAAAAAAAAATAAAAAATAAAAATAAAAAATGACCCAGTTAATGGCCATCAGGCGGTAGTTTCCCTGCGACCCCTAATTCTACTCATCTTGTGACCCCCTACAATAATTAAACATTACATTTACTTGATATGCAAATCATGCTCGTGATATCCGATATCTCGCGTTAAATTTTGGAATTGTTGGGCAATTTCAGGATCAAATAATGATTCTGAACAATTTTTGATTTAATTTGCAAATTTATTTGCAATTTTAAAGACCCTTATGGTCCGCTCCAACTCTTATTACGCAAGAACCGGCATGATGTACTTTGATATTTATTTGTATTCATAAAGTTAATTTCATAATTTATAAACTTATTCATTTATTCATTGATTTCCTCCATTTATGTACTTCAACGCTTCACGACTCAAGTTTAATTTGCTCGTTGAATTCACGCCTGAAATTTCGCACACGGATGGCCAAATATGCTACATCCCCGATTTGGCAGTCACGAGTGCAAATAAGGGAATAAAAGGGCCGTGATCCGTCCCGTCCACAATGCAGGCGCTGGGCACGGTGAACTGGATCTTCTCCGCCGTGACATCCCAGCAGGCCTTCCTCACGGGTCTGGGGACCTGCATCACCAACAACGTGGCCAACAACGCCGGCCTGGACACGGCCTCCCAGGCCCGCTACACCGCCTGTGCCACTTCCCTCAGCGTGAGTCTTCCCACCGCTGCTCTCAGTTACAAGGGAGGCAGTTTGGCTGCTGCATCGAATCGGGGAAGAGCCCAGAATTATATTTTCGATTCGGGCTTCTGGCGATTGAAAATCGCATGCAGATGGGATTTAAATGATCCGGATTTATTTTTCAAATTGGTTTTTTCGCCATCATGGCTCGGAAATTTGACACTCTACTACCATAACGGAGCTATTGAAGTTGCTGGGATTTAAATTGCTGGGATTTAAATTCTCTGCGAGGACAACGAGCTCCCTCGAAGGACCCGTGCTGTTCTTGCAAGTTGGCAATGGCTCGGAACGCTAAGAGAATTTGTGGTCTCTCAGTTCTTAGGACAGATGGGAAGGGGAGGTGGGTTGCAAAGCGTCTTGACACCCGTTTTTGAGGGCAGTGCCTTGTTTCGTGCCCAGGCAATGTCTTGTTTCGTGCCCAGGCAATGTCCTGTTTCGTGCCGAGGCAATGTCTTGTTTCGTGCCGAGGCAATGTCTTGTTTCCTCACTTTCTGATGCGCTTACGGCCAGGCAAAGAATTAAAGCGGGGACGGGCGGCGCAGATCGACTGCACAGGCGCCTTCACCGTTAATGGATTTGCAATGGATTTGCAACGGATGTGTCGTGCCGGAAAGACGCAAAAAGGAAACTCCCTCTTTGTTGAATTTGAAGGCCCTCGGCTGATTCCTGCGAATGATCGCTGTCGTTTTCGTTTCAGTCGACAGGGAGCAATGGATTCGCGAACTGGGGCATTTACTTCAGAGGTTACGCGTGCATCGCCAGCGCCAACAGACAAGCGACGACCACGACCGGCTGAACTTAGAAGGCCACACTTCGGAAGGCCACACCTCGGAAGGCCACACTTCGGAAGGCCACACCTTGGAAGGCCACGCATTTTGAAGCTCTCCGTACTCACTCGATGCGCCTGTTTCCGCATTGCATTTTTTCTTCATATTTCTGCAACTCGGCGAAACCAATTGCTTGATTTGCTCCTGCCTTTCATTTCAGTTCCTCATATCAGTCAATAAAAAGCTTTTTT